GCTCAAAGTCACTAATCATCAGAGAGATGCAATCAAAACAACAATGAGATACCATCTCACACATGTCAGAATGTCTATCATCAAAAAATCAATAAATGACATGTCCTGGCGAGGATGCAAAGAAAAAGGAACTGTCATGCACTGCTGGTGGGAATGCAGACTGGTGCAGCCACTGTGGAGAACAGTATAGAGTTTCCTCAAAAAAAAAAAAAAATTAATAATGGAACTCCAATTTGATGCAGTGATCCCACTTCTAGGACAATATCCCAAGAAACCAGAAATACCAATCAGAAAGGACATAGCACCCTTATGTTCATAGCAGCACAATTTGCAATAGCTAAGATTTAGAAACAGCCTAAGTGCCCATCAGCAGATGAGTGGATTAAAAAAACAGTGATACATGTACATAATAGAATACTATGCAGCTATAAAAAAGAAGGAACTTTTATCATTTGTAAGAATGTGGATGGACCTGGAGAACATTATGGTAAGTGAAATAAGCCAGTGGGAGAAAGATAACTATGATGTGATTTCACTCATATGGGGATAAAATGAACAACATAAACTGATGAACAAAAATCGATCCAGAGACAAAGAAACACTGAACAGATCTTCCATCCTCAGAGAGAAGGGGGCAGGGGCACACTAAGAGATCAACCAAAGGACTTGTATGCATGAATATTAGCATAACCAATGGACATGGACACTGGGGCAGTGGGGGCTTGTCCTGGGAAGTGGGAGTGGCAGGGAGGGTTCATGTGGGGGGGGGGGTGGTGAATGATACATATGTAATACTTTAAACAATAAAAAATCCTACCTAGTAAAATAGTAATATGCAAATTAACCATCACTCCACTATACCCACCGGGCACGCCCACCAGCTAATCAGAACGAGTATGCAAATAAACCAGCCAAGATGGCTACAACCACAGAGAGCAGGAGGGAGGCTTGGGTTTCCCAAGCAATCTAGGAAGCCAAGATTTCCACCTGCCCTAGCCGGCCTATGCCTCCACTCAAGGCTACAAAGTTTCAATTATAGAAGATAAACAAATCCAAACAGAAATGGCTGCTGGCCACAGAGCGAGCAGGAGGCTTGGCTCTGCTCCAGGCTACAAAGTTTCAATAGTAGAAGGTAAATAAATTCCAGATACCAGGGCCTCTGCTTGGGTTACCAGGGGGCATGGCTGGCCTGCAAACCACCACAGGCCCCTTTCTCAGGCCGCCCCACACCCCCAAGGGAACCCCCACTCTGATCCAGGTCACCCTTCAGGGAAAACCAGCTGCCCCCCACCCATGCACCAGGCCTCTGTCCTGTCTAATAAAAGAGTAATATTCATATTGACCATCACTACAACACACAATAGCTGTCCCATGTGGTCAAAGATGGCTGCCCCCATGTGGACACAAGATGGCCAGCAGGGGAGGGCAGTTAGGAGACCCCAGGCTTGCAAGGGAGGGCAGTTGAGAGGAACCAGGTCTGCAAGGAAGGGCAATTGGATGCAATCAACCGTGCAGGGGAAGGCCATTAGGGGTGACCAGGCCAGCAGAGGAGGAAAGTTGGGGGCAAATAGACTGGCAGGGGAGCAGTTAGATATTTATCAGGCTGGCATGGGAGTTTTTAAGGGGTGATCAGGCTGGCAGGCAGAAGTGATTAGGGAAAATCTGGAAGGCAGGCAGGCGAGCAGTTGGGAGCCAGCAGTCCTGGATTTTGAGAGGGATGTCTGACTGCCCATTCAGGCCCAATCCCACTGGCAGTCAGACATCCCTCAAGGGGTCCCAGATTGAAGAGGGTACAGGCTGAGCTGGGGGACACCCCCTCCAAACCCATGCATAAATTTTGTGCCCCTATCCTCTAGTAAATAAATAAAAGAAAAAAATGCAACACTATTTCTTAGAAATAAAATCAGTAATCTATCAAAAATCTGTTGGCTGATGTGGCTCAATGGTTGAGTGTTGACCTATGAACCAGGAAGTCATAGTTTGATTCTGGGTCAGGGCACATTCCTGGGTTGCAGGCTTGATCCCCAGTAGGAGGCATGTAGGAGACAGCTGTCATGTACTGTCATGTTAGATAATAATTTAATAATTTAATTCTCTCATTCTGTTTGATATACATGAGAATAACATATTTTGCAGTATGTGGACAAATGTTAGTGAAATATTTCACATAAACACAGACATACATATTTATTTTTACACATATGTATGACATTGTATTTTGCTAAAGAGCAGTAACTAACATTCAGGCCATCCAGAAGCTATCTAGCACTAAAATCTGGCTTTACTGCTAGACATTGGTGTTGTGTTGAACATTTCAACATACAATTGCATAGAAAATGAGACAGAACTGCTCTGTGATCCTGATGAATTATAACAAAAACATAATTATTTTCAATTATGTTGAAATAATAATTTTTTTAATTTATTTTTTTAATTACTCCATAATTATTTTCAAATACAGACAAACACATGAAAATTGTCTGTACCACAAGTATGCCCCAATCATAGCCAGTATGAATGATTGTTGTCTTTTTAATAAACATTTTGGCTTTTATCTCTGTCCAGTCTTGCATCCTTCTAGGTAAGATGTATTATGAACCAAATCATATAATTATTTTCACTTCCTGGCAATATTCAGTCTAGGCCAATGTCCCGCTTTCTTAAACCTTCCCCCAAATTATAATACATGTCACAGCTCAAACCTCAAAGTCGGTCCAGCACCCTTAAACCTTCCCCCAAATTACATGTCACAGCTCAAACCTCAAAGTTGGTCCAGCACCCTTTTACAGAGGTACCCAGTGGATTCACACAGTGTGTGTTCTCCCTCTGGATGATGAATTATAAACCCAATTTGTTCAACTAAAGTTGTGTTCTTGTTGGTGTTTGTCTGGAGATGATAGTTTGAGTGCACACATACTCAAATGCAAAAGAAATTTGTTTTTAGTAATTAAGAAAGAGCAGAAATTAAAAAAGTATATATTAGAGTCTCAGAAACTGAAAAATTCATATTCTATATTATAGATTATAATAGTTATTTAGGGAAAATAAACATACACATCCATGGAGCTTTTTCCTAGCATAACAAACGTTGATTCTCCCACTGCATAGACAAGCAGTTAATATTAACTTGTAATATATCAACATCACAAATAATATCTCTGGGGTTTTACATTTTTATATATTTTAAACTAATACCAACTATTAACACAGTGAGTTTTTATATTACCTAGAGTATTCATTTGTTGTTCTTGTCACTGAAATATCAATCTAGCTATTGCCAATTATTTTAGAATTCTCCTTTAATTAAATAAACTAAAAACTATGATGAATCTGGCTTTTATATCCCATTTCAGTCCCCAAAAGTTAGAGTGGGAGAACTCTTACATGCTTCAGATGATCCAGAATTCTCAAGGGTAAACATAAGACAAAATAGAGTATATGAGTTATTTTGGAGGGCACCTTGAAATCATTTTGAATTGTCCCTGAAAAGCAATCATATAAGTATATTTATAGTCGATTAAAAAAACACATTTCAGTCAAAAAACACCTGGTTTTGCATTCCCTAGAGAGTACATGTATATACCAAACAAACCAAAGGATGAGTTAATCAATATACACTTGGTTATTAAACACTTGAATAAATCAATAGCTACTCAGAATATCTATTTAGTTTCTTTAAACTTCTCATCTAAAAAAGAATATAGTAATTTGATTTTACAATGTGGATGCTCTATATTGTAAAATGTAGCAATGATTTGACTAAAGTAATTCAAACTTGTGAAAATATCTAGGTTACATATTGGAAGTTAAAATCAATGGACCCACTAAAGAGTCATATTGTAGCACTCATTTAGCATGGATGGAAGGATATAAAACAATGCTGAGATGGCAAAAATGTGTTTTGAAGAAGTAAATGCATTTGTTAAGTGTGTCACATCAGGAAATTACATCTCCAAATTAAAAAGGATTTGTTACTTGAAATATATTAATTCTTTAAATATGTATTTAATAATGTGGTATAAATTTAAGTTGTACAATATGTTTATTTGATACATTTTATATATTGTAACGTGTGTCATTATAACATAGTTAGGACCTCTAATATGTCACATAATAATAATTTCTTTTGCGTGGTAAGAATCTTTAAGATCCAATCCAGTAGTTCCCAACCTTTTTTTGGCTATGCCCCATCTAAGTATCTCTAAAATCCTGATGCACACACCCCCCCCCCCTGATATATAATTCTTATTATTCAAAGAGTGAAACCCTATTCATGTGGAGGAAGCCTAAAAGACCATTAACTTGGTCTAAACAAGCTTCTAAAGACCATGGCATCCATGAAAGAAAAAAAATAAAATAATGAAAAGACAGTTGAAGTACTGAGGAATAAATTACTAAGAAATTGTTTTAAAATTATAATATGAAGTGATATAATAGTATCAAATAAAGTTTCAAAGCACATAATATAGAACTGAAACGCATAAGTATGTCATCATATATATTTATATACAATATATAAGGCCCCCAGAACAATAAGAAATGCAAAAAAACACTATTCATAACTCATTCTCAAATTACCCCCTTAAAAATCAAATGGCCTTTCTGTGGGGCATATGCCCATGTTGGGAACCACTGATCTAAACTTTTAATAAGCTGGATGATTACACTATTATTGTCAATATTCACTACACTGTACACTAGAACTCCATGGCTTATATATCTATTCTTTGAAAGTTCGTACCCTTATATACACATTTCCTATGCCTCCAACCCTTCCTCAGATAACCACCATTTTACTTTGTGTTTTAATGGGATTATTACTTGAAGTTGGGTTTACATAAATTTCAATTAAATGTGAACCTATTTTGACAGAAAATGGTTCTTCATCTTGGAATAGTTATTTTAATTAAATGGATGTAATGTGAAAATAATGTCTGGATGCCACTCAAGGACATTGAACACTCCAAGGAATTTCGCAAAGAAAACAATAAATACATTACTGGTAGATTTTGTAAAGGTCAGTACAGGTTGTTCTCACAAGGATTCATTTTGCAGTCATTGGATTCTTGTTCACGAAAATTTCATTCCCAATCTGACAGGCATACACACTGGTAGCTCTAAGGGAGTAATATAAAAATTATAAAAACCCTAAGTGTGTTTTACTATTAAGCCTAGAATCCAGATATTACTCCTAGCTATTTTGATTTCTGAGTCAATTTATATGTTTTACAAGTTTTATAGAATGTCAATAGATCTCTCAAGTTACTTTTACCACAGTTTAAAAACTGTATAAATAGTATTCAGTAGTATATAATTCAATAAATTTTTGAAGCATATCAATAAAATATCATATAAAATATTTATGAATTATGATCACAATACAGAACTATTGACTTTGTTAAATGTCTTAATATAGTGTATTAGTAATATGAAGGTAGCAATTTAAACTAAGCTAAATACACAATTCAGCAAAGAGCTCACAAGTTGGAAGAAACACAACTACGATAAATGAACCTTCTGTCAGCTTTGTGGCATTAGCTATAAATAATTAACCTAAATAAATTAGTAATGATTGATTGATTGAAATAAAACTTTTCATACTATTTTCTAAAGTATCTACACTAAAAAAGAGAGAAATATGCAAATTGTACTTTCGCAACACCCACCGGTCAACCAGGAGTATGCAAATTAATCCAACAAAGATGGTGGGTTAATTTGCATATGCACCTGCTGAGCAGCCAAGAGCTGCTTGTATCATCGCCATGGTGATGGTGATGATGCAGGTGTTCCGCACTGCCCCAGCAGCTGTGGGCCTCTGGGCCCCTTGGGAAGGTGGAAAGGTGACTCCAGCCCAGAGTGAAGGCAGAAAGGAAGTTCCGGCAGCCAGGGGAACAAAGGCCCATTCTTGAATGAATCTTTACGCATCAGGCCTCTACTAGAAAAATAATATTCAAAATACTAAAAGTAAAATTTTACTTTCCCAGGTTTGAGCAAACAAACAAAAGAACCTAAAATTACTGTGGGATAATAACTTATATATTAAAATATTTTGGAAGAATACTGCTCTTTGACAAAACAGAAGGATTTGGGCTCCTACATTTAAAAACTCTAGATTTAGTGTTATAAAACTATTAAATTCAGTGTTAGCCATTATCTTGATCTTCACCATTTAATTCAGTAGCCACTAGCCACATGTGGCTATAGGGTCTGATACGCGACTAGTTCCCACTGAGATGTGCTGCAGGTATAAAATGCAGATTTGCTTTTGAAGTATCTCACTAATAATCATTACTTACATGCTGTCATGGTAATAGATATAAAGAGTTAAGCAAAACACTTTGAAATTAACCTCGCCCATTTTCTTTAACTTTTTTAAATGGGCCTGATAAAAAGGTTAAACCATACAGATCTCTCATTACATTTCTATTGGACAGAGTTGTATAGATTATGCCAACTCAGTTCCTTTATTTGTGAATAGAGTTAAGATGTCCACATAGCTATCTATATACACATAAATGCGGAGCAGAAGTTCCCTGAGATTAGAGAAGGTGTTTAGTTTAATACATCCCAGCATGTTGGAGAATCCTGGAACCCCAGAGATACTTAATACATTTGTTGAACGAATGAAAATGAATGAATCTGATAGGAAAAATAATGTAAAAGCTGCAGTTAGTACCCAAAACAGATTACAAAAAGGATTCTGTATGTTTGCTAAAGGTGGATAACAAATGTATTTCAAATATTACAATGACCAGAGAAACACAAAAGTTTGTGTTTCATGTATGTCCACTTAAGTTACAATAATTCAAATGCATGAATGTTAGCAGTCTGCTTTGGTTTCATAGGGCCAAGTGGTTTTGTATGCCTGTGAGCAGCTGAAAATCAGAGGGATGAGAGCCACCACATGGTCAACACTGGGTTTTATTCCTGACACCTGTTAACTCTCCACTCAGAATACTCATTAATGGTTCTCATGGTTTGCTGAATTTTAGGAGCAATTTTTTCATGCATTTTCACTCTACATTGTCAACTTACTCAACGAGTGTCTAACATTCCCAAAGATTTCTTGAAATGCATATGGCTTATTGTTGTTTTGTTCTGTTTTTCTTTCTTTCTTCCTTTTTTTTTTTTAGCACTAAAAGAGGACTTACATAAAAACTGAATGTAATGATGAGATTTTGTTTTGTGAATCTTCCAGTTAAAATGGAAGTGATTCTGCAATGGGCAAGTAAAGTGTGTGCTGTGGTGAATGCGGGATAACTGCCTAATTTAGTGATGGACATTAGGGCAGAATAAGCTAGATATTTCATATGTAAAATAGGAAAACAGAGGAAACTACCCAATTTATTTTTGAGATTAGTGAAACCTAATTATGCAAACCCAGCAAGTGCAAAATAAGGAATGTTAACTCAGACAATGTCACTTAAGATTAAAAAAAAGAAGAAGAAAAGATAATTTTTAAGTAAATGAATCTTAGCCAGGCCAGTGTGGCTCAGCAGTTAAGCATAGATCCATGAGCCAAAAGGTCACAGGTTGAGAGCCAGTCAAGGCACATATCCATCTTGTGGGCTCAATCCCCATTAGGGGGCATGCGGGAGGTAGCAGGTCCATGTTTCTCTCTTATTGATGTTTCTATCTCTCTATCCCTCTCTTTTCCTCTCTATCCAAAATTAATAAAAAATAACATTTTAAAAAAGTAATTCTTAAAATGGCTTAAAAACATGGTCTATTATAAGCTGGTAGTCCTTCCCACAGAAATAGAAGTATGCTTGAAGACAAGAAAATACATTAAAGGGGGAAAAATGGTTTGGTCATCTCAAATGCAGAAAATTCAACACACATTTATAAAAATTGTCTTAACAAATAAAAACTTAATGGGAATGGTCTTATATTAATAAAAAATATTGCCCTGACCATGTGGCTCAGTTGGTCAGAACATGATTCCCTACAGCAAAAAAGGTTGTGGGTTCAATTCCAAAAAACTCAATTCTTTGAAAAATTATAATAAAATGAAAAAAATTTTTCATACTAATAAGCAAAAATTTCCTGTCAAGCATATCTTATATGAAGCTTACTTTTAGAGTCCTGAACATTTAGACACACATTGAAAAGAATAAAATTTTTAAATTGTGTACTTTTTCTGATTTATTACTCATATGACTGGAGGCACAATAATTTGTTATCTTTAATAAAATTTAAAAAAACGTAGTAAAATTTATTTTGAATTCAGTATTCATAAGAATAAAGGACTCTGTCTTTTGTCTTATTGTCTTTTATAATGTTATTTTAAGCATTATTTTAAATCTATACAGACTTATAAAATTGCTCACTGACACAGAAATTGAAACTACTGGATATAATGATATTTAGAATTAGATATAAACATAGTACTCTTTATTCTTAAAAACAAATTAAAGTATATTAATATGATTTCTTTCACCTGGAGAAACAATTTGTCTTGGTGCTATAAATATAACATGAAATAATATGTATTATTCTGACAGAAAGTTAATGGAATATTTAAAAATAATTTCTGTGAAAAATTATGAATGCTGAATTTCATTGAACATATTTTGAAATAAGGTAATGAAAATGTATGTTAATTAAAGAATAAATTCAAGGCAAAACTGTTTTAGAAAAACACAATTTCTAGAACATGGAAAAATGTAATATAAAAACTATAAAAGCCACATGTTAGATGTAGATATTTGTAATGTATAAATATTCATAGTGTCAATACGTTTTACAACACTTTGTGAAGGAAATAAAACTTTTAAGAAATTTAGTCAGGGTAGAATTTTATTTATTTTTATTTTATTTTTTTAATATATTTTATTGATTTTACACAGAAGAATTGAGAAGGACAGAGAGTTAGAAACGTCTATGAGAGAGAAACATCGACCAGCTGCCTCTTGCACACCCCCCACTGGGGATGTGCCTGCAACCAAGGTACATGCCCTTGACCTGAATCGAATCCGGGACCTTTCAGTCCGCAGGCCGATGCTCTATCCACTGAGCCAAACTGGTCCCGGCCAGGATAGAATTTCAGTGCTTATTCTAAATGAAGAACAGTAAGGCAAATTCCCACTAGCTTTATTTCCTGTGTTCTAGTCAATCTATGATAAATATTCATAGTACATTCTTCAAAATATCTCAGCTCTTTGTCTACTATGCTATTTTCTATCTACAGTCTCTATTAACAAGTTACTCCTTGTATCTCAGTTCTCTTTATTGCATGCCCTACTTTCATAAATTATCTGTGATTCTTTCCGAAGAGTCCTACCTTTAACTTTTTTTTTTCAGAGAAAGGTTTTAAAGCTAGAATAAAGGTGCTTAGGCTACCAGCACTCTAGTTTCATTCTTTATCAATATGATAGCTGCCGAGGGAAAGTAACTCATCTGCTATCCAGCTGCTCAAACACATCTTTTCTGTTTTGAATGGTGTTTTTTATAAAAATCTCAATTTAACAACTGGGGATTTAGTCTATTACTCAAAGTTCTATCTCCAAGACATATAATACTGAAAAATACAAAATATAAAATTTTGAGAGACTATCACAAACATAAATATGCCAGAATATAAATACAATTCTGCTACAGATAATTTAGAAGTTAGGGACAATTACTTTTTTGGTCTAAAATTCAAATGATAATGAAAATGCAAGCACAGGATGAACCAAAAATTACTTTTTCCTCCCCATCAGGCTTTTTCCAAAATATTTCACTTAAGGATGATATATGGTTCCTTTTCTTAGACTCAGTTTTCTAACACATTGGAAAGCTCCTAGAACTTTACGCCTTTTATTGCTCAAAGCTGTCTTAATTATTAGGCAATTGGTTCAGTCATTTTAAAATACTTGTTTGTTAATTTAGAGTAAGAAATACGTACACAAACATTTCCCCAGGGTGTGTGACTACATAAAGCAGCACAGAGGGAGGTGCTCTGATTGAGCAAGGGAAGAAAGGCCCAGAACCCTGCCCTCTTAGCATCTGAGCCACTCTCCCTCTCTACCAACCCCTGGGGACACTCACTACAACACCCCCCCTCCCCCGAGTCTCAAAACAATTGAAAACCACTGATCTGTTGAACCTATTTCATTTTATAATAGAAAAATTG